TCGAACTACATTTTTTTTACCCACTTGATATATGCTCTTCTCCGATATAGAAATGAGTCAAAAAAACAATTTTTTTTTTAGTTGATTTGTGTCAACTCCTTTTTTTTCATGTCCACTACAATGGACGCCAGGACTGAAGCAACATAAAAACCCTCATATTCATGAAGTAGAGTTTGTGTACTAGATTTGAACTAGTGTTGACGATTTTGAAAAGAACACATACTGTAAGAATGAGCAATACAGTAAGAATGTAGAAACAAGGTAAGATGATATGAAGTCAGTTATGTTGGTTGCAGTGGGTGAATCTGAGTATGTGTGTATGTGAATGTGCTTATGTGTACTTGATGGTTATTTAGATTGTGTGCATTACAACATCAAGGCATCAGTGTGTGTGTTGTTCACTAAAACCATTGAAAAATTGATTAACAGGCTATGGTCACTTTGAAGACATTAATGAAATCATATTAATAATATTTCATTAATTAACATCAATGTTCATAAAACATTAATATTCGAATTTGTAGCTCTGTATTTTAGCTTTAAAATGCTTGCACAAATTTCTCAAGCTGTCATAATTCATGAGGTTCCTGCTGATATCTTTCAAGACCTGATGTCCATTGCGATGGACAATCAATAAAAAAAAATAAAAAAAAATCCTGTGTTCTGCAACTCTGAAAGATCTTCAAAATAATTTGGAATATTATCACTTGATTGGCTTAATTTTACAACAGGTGCAAGTTGATGAGGCTACCATGAACATATATATATATCTGCATATAAAAGGTAAAAGCTTGGTTAGTCATGTCTCTGTTTGTGATGCCTGGAGCTCAATCAGATTAAGTTAGGAGTCATTTCTTCATTCTGATTGGTTTATCAGGGACCAATCAGTGACCAGGCTCATTACTCATAGTATAAAAAACATAACATTTTCTTACTTCCTTCTTTATATCGGCCATTTCGTCCTCCGTCAGGTGAGTAACATCCATGCTGCTGTCTGCTTTTCACCTTTTTTTGAGTTTTCTACTAGTTCCGGACAGAAAAAAAAATGACTACCAACTCAACATCAAAGACGGGAAAAGCATGAAAAGACTAGACTTTCATAAACATGCGATGGCGAAGCCCGAGCTGGTTCTTGAGCGAACTGTCTAATAGTTCTCTTAAAGTTCAGGGGAACTACCGGATCTCCAACTTCCTTATTTGATGCACTCTGACGTCACAATGCAGCGCATCATTCTTTCTTATCTAATAAAGTTGTTGAAGTCTCTATCAAAATTATCCATAATTGTTATCTGGTAAATTACAAACTTGTTAAATTTAACAATAGTATTTCCCCCAATTGCTCCTTTTGCCTTCAGTCTGAAGAAACAATCAATCATTTGTTTTGGGACTGTGCTTATTCTAAAGTGTTCTGGGTTGACTTTTCCAATTTTGTTAAAAAATATTTATATCCAAACTTTTTATATCCAGTGTTTTTTGGTTACTCTTTGAATTTAGACCCTTCTCACTGTAAATTTAGTATTAATCTATTGCTATATCTTGCGAAATTTTACATTCATAAGTGTACCTTTTTTTAAAGAAAACTCCCTACTTTTTTATTTGCAGGAAAGATTTTGATGTGTATGTAATCTTTAAGAAACTCTAATAATTCTATTGCATGTAAGACTCTTTCATGGTGTAAATCTTATAAGCTAACATAGTATGCTTTGGAGTATTGTTTGTAACCCTTATTGTCTTTTGTTCTTACTTGTCTTTGTAATTGTATTTGTTGTTCTTCTATTGCATAATAAAAAAAAAAATAAAAAAAATTCATGTTAATGAATCTTCTTCTTCTTCTTAAGCGTTTTTGGCGGTTGGCAAACCAGCTAATACGTGCTTTACCGCCATCTGCTGGACTGGAGTGTGGAACAAAAGTCTGGCTGAGAAATATAACAGGATTAATAAAAAAAAATAATATCTAATATTTCATAAGAATATTGATATATAATTTGTTTTCCTATTCAATTCTTTTGTCTCCCAAAATGTATAATAAACATGCTTTTAGTCCTGGTGTCCTCTACAGTGGACATGTATGAAATGATGTCCTGTTTCGTAACAGAAGGTCATATTTTGATTTGAAACCCCATAACATTTTCCTGAGATGTTGATTTATGACAAACAATTTGAAAATTAATCAGATTTAAATTATAATTACAAAATATTATCATATTTCCATAAGGATGTACAATTTTATCACTAAATTAATGTCAGCCATTTTTAAAAACCAAGGAGAGGGAGTGGTCATGGTGAAACATCCAATCATTTGGTATCTCTGGAAAGCCCTGAATGTGCTCTGTACAGGACATCCAGACTTAAAACTGTGACATGTAACGTCTCAGAGAAATTCACTAAAATATAATGTCCACTACAGAGGCAAAAACTCCATAGCTGGGTCTCAGGAGGATATAAAATATATATATTTTATGGAGGAGTGAATCACACCTGATGCGGCGCTTCATTACTTTTAATGCGTTTTTATTTCTAATTATTTCGCAACATTTCAGCAAGCTCACATGGAGGTGAATGGCAAACCTGTTATTAGGTTGTAACATCAACATCTGCATTTCTTGTGCATTTTTTGCACATCATGAGGCACTGGAGCATTTCTTTGACATTTATGAACGGTTTGGCACACTTCTCTTTATTCCTTTTTATAACTTAATGATTCATTATTTATTAACATACTCGCTATAGGGCAGTTAGGTTACACTTTATTTAGTTACACTTTATTTTAAGGTGTCCTTGTTACAGTGTAATTATACATTTAAGTACTGAGTAATATTAATTAACTACATGTACTTACTATATAGTTAGGATTTGGGTTTGGCTTAGGGTTACTAGCATAATTAATTGTTATTATAATAGTAAGTATGTAACGTGTAACAAGGACACCTTAAAATAAAGTGTTACCCTTTCTTTGTTACAGTGTAACTATATAAGTACCGAGTTAAAGTTACAGACGCTGTTGGGCTCCTCCTGCTGGGCTGTGATTCACTGCAAGGTTTGGGTTTTATACCTTCACCATCATCTCATTGGCTGCTGTTGCAATCAATCAACCTCCATATCATGTCTAATCTTACTAATAGCACTAATAATAATTTCAGAATTGTAATATCCTATTCATTACTAGCTTGTTACTCATTAGTGGCTCTTGTGGTAGTGTTGGGGTGCGTTTAGCACTTCAAGTGATTTTATCATCCCTTGAACATGGCTAATTTGGTTTATCTGGATAGTGAAGATTTTAGAATTATGGCTGAAATGTTCAGGAAGTATATCTGCAAGTATTCAAGGACTTGTATCCAAGTGTGGTTAAATAGGATAATTACAGATTAGCACCTTATTGTCATATGCATGAACTTGTTTGTCCAATATGGTTAATATCATGCTTTATATTAGCTTTTCATTGATGCACTAAACAAATCTGGATTGCTATTGTTTGCATTAGTTTTTGCTTATATATTTGAGCAAACATGCACATAATTGAATTCGCAGTTACCTATGATAACACATGAACTTTTTAAATAATCACTTAGGACAGGGATTTTCAGACTTTTTTTTGTCAGCCGAAGTACCCTGAGAGTTTAAGAAAACATTCCAATAATTTAATGGCACATTTGCATGTTTTATCAGAATTATTTTACATAGCTATCGTTCTTAGAGATAAAATGGTATGAAAGTTTCATATCACAATTATAGTGACCAAAATGATCACAGTTTTCAATATTATCACAATAAGTTCAAGAAGTACTCAAACACACACTGAAATTATGTTGAAAACCAATGGATTTTAAACAAATATAAAATATTGGTTTGGTGAGTTACAACATATCATGTTATCTATTAATATACTACATGTTCAAATAAAGTTTTGACAAAAAAAAAAAGTTTTACAAAATAACAAACGTCACATTTCAGCCTTTAAATCATTTTTTTAAAGAAAAGGATGAGCCAAAATGATACATTACAGGCATTTTATCTGCTCCATAAACAATTCTACATAGGCTACTTTATCATTGAAGTGTTGAGATTTTTAGAGTGCACTATAGTTTATTTTCCATCTACCAGTTAAGATTTACTAAACTAAATTTTGGTCCTGTTTTCTCATTGGTCTGAACAAAAACAGCAGTCAGGCTGAATAAAAGCGTAAATCCACTGTTTGACAGCAGGTGGCGCTGACGGAACATCAGAAATAGAGCTGTTTCCATGGTAACCGCTGTAAACAAAGCAGCGCTGCGCTTCTAAACGCTACTTTATTACACATTTCAACCTTAGATTTTTAAAAAATTATTTTTTTTACAATTTTTTTAAATGTTATTATTTATTTATAATTCATTTAATTAATACATTACATTTACATTTAGTCATTTAGCAGATGCTTTTATCCAAAGCGGCTTACAAATGAGGACAATGGAAGCAATCAAAATCTGTGCTATAACAAGTCTCAGTTAGCTTAACACAGTAAACATAGCAAGTTTTAAAAAAAATTATATAATAAATAAAAAGAAAACAGATAGAACAGAAAAAGAATAGAGCAAGCTAGTGTTAGAGGCCTTTTTTTCTTTTGTTAATTTTATAATAAACAAAAAGAAAACAAATAGATAGAATACAAAAAGACTAGAGAAGCGTTTGTGTTTTTTTAATAGCTTTTCATAAACTCACAAATCCCCTGAAACATCCTCTCGAAACTTAGGATATGTTTATTCACAAACAGACAGTTTGTAATTTTTACAAACAGACTTGCACATAAACTACTGGCAGTACAAAATAGATGTGGAATAAATGTTTATATTTTATTAGTGTACAGAGGTACACAAAAGGAAAAACTGTTGTCAGCTGTTTAGAAACATACCAAAACCTTTTTAATAAAACTGGAGATCTTTATTATTACAAAACACAGATTTTCTGTAGATATTCTATATGGCGTGATTTTGTTGTTGCTCAAATCTTTCAGCTAAATGTAGGCTTCAGTTCTACAATGGGAGCACAGTCTGTTTCAGTGAGTTAATTTTCCCATCAAAGCCGCTCTCCTTCTCAATCTCTGGTTAGAACGGAAACCTCTTCGAGATGCTGACGCACAACGCCGTCCAGGACTTTACTGAGACCTTTACGCCGTCATGGCTGCCTTTATTAAAGCGTCCAAGTGGTCCTGGTGGAGCCGGGCGTCCATCTGCAGCAGGGCGATGTTTCCGCTGCGGGCAGCAGGGCCAGCGCCAGAGACGTTCATCCTCCGCTCTCCTCAGCATGGCACAGATCGGCCAGCGGCGTGTCCTCCACTAAGCCGGCAGTGCACATACCTTTACGCCGTCATGGCTGCCTTTATTAAAGCGTCCAAGTGGTCCTGGTGGAGCCGGGCGTCCATCTGCAGCAGGGCGATGTTTCCGCTGCGGGCAGCAGGGCCAGCGCCAGAGACGTTCATCCTCCGCTCTCCTCAGCATGGCACAGATCGGCCAGCGGCGTGTCCTCCACGAAGCCGGCAGTGCACATTGTAAAAAAAATTCCATAAAATTTACGGTAAAAAAACGGCCGCTGTGGTTGACGGAATTTTACAGTGAAAAATACGGTAGCAACGTTTTAGGTTTGATGGTTTTTAACTTAAATTTACAGTTAAATACCGTAATTTCATTAACTGATATAATGATAATATACCAACCTATTGAAGTACTGAAATCTGTTTTGTACCTTTGTAATACACTGATAACCACCAAATGCAGGAGGTGATGAGAAAGTCACATGATGAACCAAAGCCCATCACAAGCAGCTTTTAAATAATAACATATATAGAAGGTGCACAGTGTCATTCACACAAACACTAAACACCATAATGGTAACACACATGAAACTGAAATAATACAATAAACATTCATTTAACAACATTAGATGTAACATACAACCCTAA